GACCACACATCCATGACATTCATTGGATTTCACCTTAAGCCCAATAACGAGAAAGGGTTTGATGCAGTAAATCCTTTGACAAAAGAAGTGATTAAGAAAAACATCATGACTCGACAGCTGTACAATGGCTTAAAACTTCAGAGAGTTCCTTTCAATGCAGACTTTGATCAGCTTCCTAGAGCTGACAAGATTGAGCATCTGTGCAGTGTGCTTGGCGTCAAGTGGCCAACAGATCCTGATGAAACATATGAATTGACCACCGACAATATCCTCAAAATGATGGCAATTCATATGAGATTCAGGTGTGGCATTCCTGTCATCATAATGGGGGAGACAGGATGCGGTAAAACAAGGCTGATAAAATTTATGTGTGAACTAAGAAGATGTGGAGCACCAGCAAAAAACATGAAACTGGTCAAAATTCATGGAGGAACTACATCAGAAATGATTTATGAGAAAGTGAAGGAAGCTGAAACTCTTGCAAGGACCAATAAAGAGAATCATGATCTTGACTCAGTTCTTTTCTTTGATGAGGCAAACACCACAGAAGCCGTTAATAGCATCAAGGAGATCCTCTGTGACAACTCAGTGCAGGGAGAAGAACTTGGCTCTAATACAGGGCTATATATTATTGCAGCCTGCAACCCTTACAGAAAACATACAGACCAGATGATCAAGCGGCTGGAAGCATCAGGACTGGGTTACCGGGTTCGGGCTGAGGATACTGAAGACAGACTTGGCTCCATCCCTCTCCGCCAGCTTGTGTATCGTGTTCATGTGTTACCACCGAGCATGATACCTCTTGTTTGGGATTTTGGACAACTCAATGACTCAACAGAGCAAATCTACATTGAACAAATAGTACAAAGACAGGCGAAGGCCAGCTTCACTGAAAAGGACTGTATTCCAACAATAATTAAAGTTTTATCATCATCACAAAAGTTCATGAGAGAGAGGAAAGATGAATGTAGCTTTGTCAGTTTGAGAGATGTTGAACGTTGCATGCAAGGATTTCTGTGGTTTTACAACAATCACCCAATGTTTGCTGAAGCTCTAAAAGCCTTGTTTCAGCAGCAACAAAAAAACAACCCACCATTTTCACCTGCCAGTGACAGAGTACTCTGGTCACTTTTGATGGCTACTGGAATGTGCTATCAGTCCTGTTTAGAAAACAAAGGGCAGTATCAGAAAACTATCAGCCAAATTTTTGATGAGTATAAACCACAACGAGTACTGCAGGAAATGGAACTCATGCAGGACCTCCTGCTCAGTGGTGTACCCATGGATGAGACAATTGCCAGAAATGAGGCTTTGAAAGAGAACTTCTTCATGATGGTGGTCTGCATTGAACTGAGAATTCCCCTGTTTATTGTTGGGAAACCAGGAAGCTCCAAATCACTGTCTAAAACTCTAGTTGCAAATGCAATGCAAGGTCCCACATCACATTCTGACCTCTACAAGAAGCTGAAGCAAATACATCTTGTGTCTTTCCAGTGTAGCCCTCATTCAACTCCAGAAGGAATCATCAATACATTCAAGCAATGTGCCCGCTTTCAAGAAAGCAAAAACCTGGATGAATATATTTCAGTAGTTGTTCTTGATGAGATTGGATTGGCTGAGGATTCCCCGAAAATGCCACTGAAAGCACTGCACCCATTACTGGAAGAGGGTTGTGTTGATGATGAGCCA